TTTCAGTGCCTGATAGAGTGAGAACACAATGTTGCACTTTAGTATTTTCAGTAAAGAAGGCACTGACCTTTTCAAATGGACTTGTAATAGGAACAGTACTTTATGTAAAAGAGGTAAATGTGAGTCAGCCCCCCTCAGATTGAAAGGGTCAAGGAAGGAAGTACCCATGAGGCCAGAAGGCAGAGCAGTAACTGGATCAAGTACCCAAACTGGGTGGGACGTGGAGCCTGGTACTCACTTACCAGCCTAGCCCTGCTCCCCACAGGTCTCACCAAGGTTTTGAAGTGCTTTTGCTGTGGCGCAGGTGGGGTTATGTCAACTGGCACGCCCTGTGAGAACCAAATACCTACATTTCTGAGGCGAGTGTTGAAGATTAGGGGTGCATTCTGGCCAAAGAAGGAAAAGCCCTGCTTTCCGGACTGTACTGTGGTGCTGTGGTTACCTGGCAAGTTCGCTAGTTGAAGGTCTGCTTCACAAACTAAGAAGTAACCGGGTTAGCAGTCACAATGAGAGAAGCAGCAAATGAAGGAGCCCTGCAGGAGAGTGTGGGGTGCTCTCTACTGTAATGTAATGGAAAGTACTCCAGAGTAAGCTGGGGTGACCCCGTGCCACAGCTGGAAAATGGTCAAGGAGCTGTTGGTTGCCAGGGTGCACTGTTAGGAATGGTCTGGTGATGGGTCTCTGGGCCGAGAGAGGAGAGAGCTGCCAATGTACAATGTGGTCTAAGCTAAATGAGTGCACTACGTCTGAAAGTGACTTGTGAATGTATGGAATACAATAAAACCTTTTATTCTGGTTCATTTGCTAGTATTTCCTTTTTAATTGGCTACTGAAGTCCTCCCTCTGAATTTTGTCCTTTTATTCAGCATCAAGACCCTAACCAGCTGTTTTGCTGTTGTGACTTGCACATTGTAGCCTAGAGCACATGGAGTAGAAAAGAATTGGAAGTAGCAAGTTTTTTGTTTGCTAAATAAAACTATTTCACCTAAATTCTGTGTAGTTTTTGAAAAATCAATACTTTGGTCACATTTGCAGCAGTCAAAAGGCTACAAATTCTTAAATACAAAATTGTATGTGTGTGTATAGTTTTCTGGGAGGTCAGTATGGTGGTTTTTTAATCGGATTTGTAAAGGAGTTTGTTTCCCAGCTAAAGTTTGTACCCTCTTAGAGTACTTGAAATCAGGTGGGGAAGCGGGGTGGTGTGGTCACATGGTTAGATAATGTTAATTTTCAAAAGTTGGCTTTCAGAACCAGCACTGGACAACAAGAATGCATTAAAGCAAGTGTAGCCATTTAGAAAAGAATACAGCAGTCACTGGGGGCCAATCGAGGAGGGCGGGAAAGCATTGAGGCACAGTGCCCCTCCCTCCAGCTAACTGTGCGGGGGGGGGGGGGGGGGGGAGCTGGTCTTCTGGTTGGTCTCCACCTCCACTGATACCTGCCCGGGGTACCAGTGGACCCTGTGGCCTAACCTGAAAGGTGGGGACCACGTTTGCATTCCGCTTCCTCTGCTCCCAACCTGCCCCCTCCCCAGTACAGGAGGCACACAGTTTTCAGCCTCATTATAATGCTTAAGTAACCCATTTAAGGAGTATCAACTTGAGATTCAAATATGCAATGGTTGTATTTTTCCAGTAACTGCCAACCGTGTTTGTTCTGTTGAATGCAGTTTCCCCTGGAAGTCAGCTATCCTCAGGCTCTCAGTACAATCTTACAACTTTTAAGTCACTTTCTATTAAGACAGTCTGAGCTTTTTAAAGTTTCAGTCATTTGATTCAAAGCTCCCCACGGGCGCCACCCCCATCACATGCCGCAGCGCCTGGTATACACACGTGCTGCTCTCTGCCTGGACAGGGCCGGAGGATGTGCCGGGGCTGGCTCTTCCCACCTGCTCTTCCTGCACTAGCTCTGGGCAGCGGAGAGGAGGGAGTGGGGTGAGGACGTCCCCTGACAGGGGCAGCCTCCTGTTGAGGTCATGGTGAGGTCACTGTCCTCTTTCCTCTGGTCTGAACATTCACTGTGAAGAGTGTGTTCTGCAGGCCCGAGGAGCCAACGACTCCGCTCCAGACAGCAGTGGTGGCCCTTCGTGGAACGGTTCTGGCCACTGCGCTGCTGGGAAGGGCCTCCCTCTGAAACGGGCACCACTTTGTCCCACGCTGCCCTGGTCCCCACAAAGTCTTCCACCCTCATTTCGTGTTTCTCCCATGCCCGGGTCTCTGGATGAGCGCTGTCAGTACCCGTCTCGGTGGCCTGCCCCGCTGCACGGCTGCTCCCGCGAGCTGCCTCCTCCTGGTGCTCCTTCGGTGGCAAGTTGTTGGCAAGTCAGCGGGACCTGCGGCTTCTGCACGGCCATCCTCCTACAACGTGTCGAGGGCATCCACGCAAAATCTCGGGAAGTTCTCCCCATGGGTTTAGTCAAAGGAGTAAGTCTAATTGTCCCCTCCTTCGTGGGAGGTCAGGGAAGGAAATACCCTGTTTTCTAAACTCTAAATTCCCAAGAGGGGGTTTCTCACCCCCTTTCTAGCGGTTCTAGTGGTCCTCTAGGGCAGACGTGCTGCCGCCGAAACGGCGCCTCGGCGAGTCCTGCGTGGAGGGACCCACTCCACAGCGTTGGCCTCTGAACTTCGGAAACGCAGACTGATGATCTAAAAACAGTCTCGGAACAGTCAGTTGCATCTCTTGACTGCGCGAAGGGGATACACAGACCACAGCTCACGTTCCCGTTGCTGGCCCCACTGCCTGCCCTCACCCCACAGCAGGGCCCCTCCTTCCGCCCTGCACCCCTTTCTCCCGACCGTGTCCAAAGCCCAAAGCGCCAGGCTAGTGAGGCAGGACTCGCCAGGCATGGAGTCGAGGGCAGGGGGACAAGGGGGGAGGGACACACCCATCGGGTCAGCGGCCGCAGTCGTCCTCCCGCTGGTTCTGCGAGCGCAGGTGAACCCGCGCTCTCATCTGGGGGGAGGGGAGGGCAGAGGCTCGGCCTGCGCCTCGCGCGCAGACGTTTCGTTTTCCACTCTTGCCTTTCCCGGAGCTGTACACGGAGGGGGGAGGGGGGGGCGGAAAGTGGGCGGGTCGGGATTCAAAGCTCTACTGGGTTCCCCTGTTGGCCTTTGTTCCCAGGGCGGTATCTCCCACACTAGGTGAGAATGCTTTGGACTTCTAATAACAGAAAGATTAACAGCAGTTTTGTAACCATTTGGTGGTTTACTTGAAAAGGAGTCCGGAGACAGCCGATGGCAGGCTTGCTTTCCCCCCCCGACGTCATCAGGGACTCCGAGTCTTACCCTTCATGGTGGGCAGAGTAATGGCCCCTGAGTGCTGCGATTAAGGTTAAGGACTCTAACAGGAAAGAGTACCCTGGATTACCCAGGTGGGCCCAATTTAACCCTATGAACCCTCAGAAGTAAAAAACCTTTCCCAGCTGCACAGACGCAGAGAGAGAGGTAAAGCGACTCTCGAAAAGCAATCTACCTGTTGCTGATTTTGAAGGTGAAGGGGACCACGAGACCAGGGGTGAGAGTGACCTCTAGTGGCTAAAAGAGGCGGGGAACTGCTTTCTTCCCTACAGCCTCCAGTGAAGAACGCGGCCCTGCTAACAGCGCTTTGATGCCCCTCAGGTGACCCGCCACGAGATGCTGCCAGTGTCAAATGGCACGTCCTAAACCCCTGAACTCGAAGGCAGGGAACCAGGGAAGGGGGTGGGGGTGTGTGGCCTCTTTCCTTTTGTCCCTCAGGAGAAACATCCTTCCTAGAAAACTGGCAGCCTTCCCCTCACATGTCTTGGACTCAGACTGAGTCCTGTGGTCATCCCTAGCCGCAGGGGGGACAGGGCTTTTCCAGCCTCTCCGGTGGTGGCGGAGGGAGCAGAAACAGGGTTGGGAGTAGTCTTGGGCAGCCGAAAGGACATCTGCCCTGTCTCCCTTGGCAGGGACTCTGGGGCCCAGAGAAAGGCGGCGGAAAGACTCAAGTGCCAAACTGCACCGAAGCCTTACCACATTCCATTCAGAACTGAGTGAAGATCTACTCTGTATGTGAATTTCAGCCAACTATTTGGCAAAGCCTCTCCTGTGCTTACATTTTTCTGGCTATGATGGCAAAGTAGAGCAAGATAATATACCTGCATACGAGCTCCATGAAGGAGGAACCTGGTTTATCTCATGCCCCATGGTCTCCCTGGCACGATATAGGACCTGACATATAGTAGGCCCTCAATAAAAAAATTTTAAATATTTTATTTATTTATTTTTAGAGAGAGGGGAAGGGAAGGAGAAAGAGAGGGAGAGAAACATCAACGTGTGGTTGCCTCTCTTGCACCCCCTACTGGGGACCTGGCCTACAACCCAGGCATGTGCCCTGACTGGGAATCAAACCAGCTACACTTTGCTTCACAGGCTTGAGCTCAATTTACTGAACCACACCAGCCAGAACTGATTTCTAACATTGAAGAAAGAACAACTCTATATTTGATATTCAAATTATCACTTGATCCTGGGCATACTATACTTCATACTGCTTTGGTCTGACTTCCAGTTGTATCACTTAATCTTTTTGAGCCTCCATTTCTTCATTTGTTAAGTGAAGAAAATACAAAGTCCATGAAGATTAAGTGAATTAATACAGACTGCCTGCCACCCAGTTGAACTTAACATTTGGTAGCTTTATTATTACAGTCTCTGAAAACCCTACTCTGCTACGGGCCAGAACTGTGTTGGACTAAAGAAGCCTCTGGAGAGAAAATCCATACACATTCCATTCGCTCTTTCCAAAGACGGCGAAACACTGACACTCTTCAGACTGTGTCCCATCCAAAAATGGCTAACATTGCTGAAATATTTTCATGCTAAAAGAGGTGTGCTTTAGTTGTCTGGAAAATTTAATTACATGGAAGAGTCTTCTCTTTTTTATGATGCAGGTCGCTTCTATTTTATTTTTTCTGGCTGAAAGTGTTTTTATGTTTACTCAAAGTCAAAAGGAAAAAAGGAAGTCCGAGAACTACAAAAGAGGGGTTTAAGTGATTTATACGTCATTTCTAAATGCAACATGTGTTTATACATAATTTAAATCTCGAAGAAGGCATGCTTATACAATCGTGTGCAAATGTAAAATTTAATGACTCTGGATGCGTACAGGATGGAAGCAGTCCGTGACACCTGCAAACATCACTTGTGGAACAGCACACAGTTAGTTCAGTGCGCTCAGTGTGGATATGACAACCATATTTCACAGAGCCTGGCATGGTCTATGAGTTTCTCCACGTGGTTGATAATGGTCTACAGTTGCTGGTAAGTGATTTTGCAAATTCCATTTATAATCCTAGCCCTACAGTTACCTAAGTTAACTTAAATTTTATGCTCCAATCACGTACCTTCAAAGTTACTAATGTAACTAACTGCCATGGGGGAGTGTCAATACCACTTGTCACCACTAGGGGGATGGCCATCCCGACACTAGAGAGAACGCTACTTCTAGGAGTAGAAGTTGGCTGTGACAGAGATGCGTGAACTGGTTTAACCTTAATGCCAGATGTGCCTCAAGAAAAAAAATTCTTTCTCTTTTTAGGGAGTACTCATGGTGGCACCAAGGCTGGTGGGGAGCAGTGGGCAAGCCCAACTTGGAGTCACACTCGAGGGAGATACTGCTTGGGTCTTCCCTGTGTGCCTTGGGTGAGGAACGTGACATCTCTGAGCCCCTACCATGCTGACAGTTGGGCAGAGCAATGCCCCTTCCCTGGGCTGTGGCGACAGCGTGACTTGATGGTGGATGCGAAACCATGCACGTGGCACGGAGGCAGGAGCGGAGGGACTGCTGGAAAGCTGGAGGAATGAGCACGATTCACCGGCAGCGGCTGAAGGCACAGCTTACCTATGCCCATGCGAAGAAATGCGAGAAAAGTTCCTTTGTTGCATTTTCGCCAGGTTGATGTTTGTACAACAGGGCACACGACTCCACACACACGAGCAACAACATTTCCCCAAAACCCATGACGAGGAAGTTCTGCAGCTTTTCCTGTCCCCTCCCGGGGGACACAGACCAAAATGTGCCATCTGCCAACCCACAGAGGCAAAGTGGCCAATAATTTGGATCAGTTTTGCATCCCTGCTCTGCCTTCAAACCCCACACCTGAAGTGGTGCCTTCCCCAGGTGCCAGACCGTGATGCGTGGTGTGCTGCCCGGGGGGCTGGACGAGTGTGCAGCGCCTCACTTTGTTGCAGGCCAGAGGGAACGTGTTCCGGGAAGAGGCCGTGGAAAAAAGTCTGGTGAGCCAACACCTAGAGGACACAGCTGGGGAAATAAATTAGCTACTTCTATTGCACGTCTACCCAGAGAACAAGCCTGGATCTAAATCTCTTCTCCCTCTAGCAGCTCAGAGGTGGCATCAGGCTCCCTGAGAGCCATTTCCACCGACAGGCTCCTCTCCAGGTTCTCCAGCTCCTGGCGCACCTCCTCCATGAAGCCGCCAGCTCCGTAATCGCTGGGGGCTTCTCTGGGTACCAGGCTCTCGCCGTCTTCGCCGCGGCTCTCGACGAAGGTGGGCTTGCACACGTACACCAGGCTGTGGCTGGGGAGAGATGGGGCTGTGGCTCAGCCGAGGGCCGTGTCTCCCCGTGGGGGCAAAGCTGGGCTCTCAACACGGGGAGTCTGGGTGTGAGCCAGGGGCTCTACCTGGGGCTGCTGTGGGTGTGTCTCCGGGCCTCACCTTCACAACCCTCCTCTAACATCTCTCCAACAGTCTTCACCTCCTGTCAACATCTTGCCTTAGCAAGGGTTGCTGAGGGAGGCTCACTTCTGGAGCAGGTACTTGAGGAGCAGCTCCCCCCACCTCTAGGGGCAGGTCCGTCTTCCTGTGACTGACCCTCTCAGGCTCCGCATCCCTGGGGCCAGCCCCGAGGACGCAGGGTCTGAGAACTACAGCCCGCTGCCCATAAGGCCTCCAGGTGGGAGCAGCCCCAGACAGTGGGACAGGACGTCACTGCCTCATCACCTGTGCCTGTGGGGCAGGGACGGGTGTCGTCGGCCCAGCTGCCCTGGATTCTGCTGGGAGGGAAGACTGAGGAGCCGCTGCCAAGAAGCCTAGGAGAACGCGCACTGGGAGAGGGCCATGCAGCCCTGGTGCTTCTTGGTCCCTTGGCAGCTTCCAACCATCACGGGTGCCCTCCGCCATGGGGGCCAACTCCCCCGGTTTCCCTCCCATCTTTCCCACTTCCTAGCCACCTCTGCCGGCTCCTTCTCCACTTGTCCTTTGTCGTAATGGGGTCCCCTCAGCCCTCACTGCTTCTCCCTCCACACTGTCTTCCCAGACAACCCACTCAGGAGGCTTCCACCACCATCTAGATGAGCCCCACTCTGTGCCCCTGGCCCCCCCTTCTCAGCCTGCCTTACAGGTCTGACTGCTATTGAACCCCTGTCTGGAAGACCCAAGGACACTTCAAATCAAACCTGTCCTAAACTGAATCCACATTTTCTCCCTGCTCCTGCCCCCGAGTCCCCTCTGAGTGGCATCTCATCCCCGCTTGGCCCCTGACAAGGGGAACACGGGGGCCTCACCTGTGAGGCTGGCAGAGGAGGCCACTGGCACACGGGCATCGGTCCAAAGCTCCGTCCGGCTCCAGCTCCCAGGTGATGAGGTCCAGGAGCCGGCTGGCAGGGTCATGGCAGAGCTCCCCCTCCACGGGCAGGGGTGTGCACACAGGGAACAACAGGCCTAGAACCGGCCAAAGTCACCCCCATGCCCAGCACCAAGGCAGGCACCGGGAGCGGGGTACAGCCTCCCACTTTCCACCCTCAACCCCAATGTGGATGTTTGGATTGAAAAAGTGGAATGAGAGGAAACAAGAGTGGCAGTGTGGGCTCAAGAGAGAATAAGCTGGGAGGACTGGGGCAGTTAAGGAGGACTGCCTGGAAGAGGCAGCATGTGCTACATTTTGAGGCCAAAGGTCTGGAGAAATTAAGAATGGAAGAAAGGTGTTCAAGGTTGGGGCACAGCACCAACAACAGACTGTGGTCGGGCTCACGCTGGGGCCGTGAGGATCCCAAACTGGCTGAGGAAGAGTGAAGACAGAAGGAGGACAGGGCAGCTGGAGCTGGCCAGGGCTGGGAAGGTGGACTGGACAGTCAAACCCCCAGAGGAGTGATAGCCAGAAAGCCGTCCTTGAGGAAAATTGCAGGAGCAGCAGGTGCCAGGTGGACCGGAGGGATGGGGAGGTTGGCTAAGGGGGAGATTTTCAGAAACACTGGTGGGAGACGAGAGTGCCTGAGCTGACCTTATGCTGGAGGGGCAGTGAGCGTGGACGATGGGGAGAGACGGGGGCAAGCCAGGTGACGGGGAACAGGACAGGAGCCAGGCGCTACCTCAGGCCTGGGGAGTGAGGTGGAGTGGGAGGGTGGAGTTGTTACAGGGCCTACGCTGCCCCCGAGGGAGCCACCCACCTCTCTGGAAGGCGCAGCACAGCCCAGGGTGGCAGTCCCTCTGGTTGTCACAGATGGTCCCATTGCTGCCTCTGGTGGCTGTTTTGGTGCAGTGACCCCAGACACAGAGCTGGTCTCCACAGCATTCACTGTCCCGGGTGCAGAGCTGGAGGGGCCACGGCAGCCTGTGACTCACAGGCCTGGGAGGGCCCGAGGACACTAGGGGTCAGCTAACCCACACCGTCCACTGCACGGAGGAGGAAACTCGGGTCCTAGGCGGGGGCGGGGCGTGGGGGGCGTTGAAGCCACGGGAGCAGGGCTGGTAAGGCGGACCTGACGGCTCAGATCACGGGGAATGGCACGGGGCAGGGGGGTGCCTGCCATCTGAGTCTTCCTCACAGCTGGAGATTTTGCCTTTAAAGGACGCAGCCTGTCTTTTGTGGTTCGCCCGCAGACTTGTGCCCTGCCCCTTTCTTATTAGGTCCCCAGGTCAGGAAGGAAGGTGGCTCGGGGCCCCAGGTGCAGGCAGCAATGAGATTCTTGTAAGCTGATTGCAGGAGCCCGGGAAGGCCACAGGAACGGTCGGGCACATGGGAGTCGCACATGGGGAACGGCAGTTAGAGACCAAAGCGGGTTCCCCACGGCCGTGCTCAGTGAAGGCACCCAGTGGGACAGCTGTGGCTCCGAACCGTGGATGGGGCTGGGTTGGGTAGTAGTAGTGAGTAGCAAGAAGTCCTCTGTTTTCCGAATGCGTGACTGTCTTAATGATAGAAAAGGCCAAGGAAAGTCTTAGGCCTCATGGCTCTTTCCAAACAGCTGCTGTGTGGAGGGAGAGTCTCTGCTCCCCTGGTCCCTGCTTCTCTGAACAGCCCCCATCAGGGGGGTGTTCTGGCTCCTTCCGCCCTCTCCGACAGGGCAGGTGGGAGGAGGAGCTGGCCGCTGGGCTGCCCTTTCTCCGCCCAGGGGCTGCTGCATGGGGTGGGCCTTCCCAGGGGAAGGGACAGGTGTGAAGCCTCCCCCTGCCATCCCTGCAGCAGCAGGTTCTGCAGACGGCCTCCCGGTCACTGCAGGAGTCCGCCCCACAGCGGGTCATGGACAGGTTCCTCCAAGTGAGTAGGGACCTGGTGGGGCTCCATGGGAGGCCTCCAGGAAGCCTGGCTGAGAACGTGGGCTGGCTGCTGGCCTTCTCCTCTTGGGCTCTTTGCTGGGGCACCCTGGCCCTGGGGCCGCAGCCCCGAGGCCTCTGGACACACTCACCGTCTGCTGGTCCCGGCATGGCTGGCAGGTGTACTGGAAGCTGGCAAACTGGCAGTACCTGCGGGGCCCGCAGTCCTCGTCAATGATGCACTCCTGGGAGCAGGGGAGGGGGCGGCTTCGTCAGGAAAGGCAGGTCAGCAGCCCACCATGCCCCGCAAAATGGGGCAAAGCCCCATTTATCCCGTCTCAGGGCTCAGAAACAGACGCCCTCCCTGCAGCCCTGCCTGGCTCACTCCCCTCGCTCCCCAGCAGCCACTCCCCCAGGGGGGCAGGGCCTCACCCACATGGTGCATCTAGGCTTCTGCCCTCTGGGATGCCGCACCCGGTCCACACAATCGCCTCTGTGTGCAGCCTCCCCTCACACCCAGGGTGGGAAGCACAGAGACCCAGGGCTGGTCTCCAGCACAGAGCAGATGGATTTAATAAAAAGAGCTAATGAGTTCCAGACCCCGGGCGGCTGCCAGGGGAGGGCTGCAGTTCAGCGGGACCTTGCTGACTGAGAAGGAAAAGGGTGGCCACAGGGAGCCCACCTCAGGGTCCTGGGTCTGAGTGACACCCAAAGGCAGCTGCCAGCTTCCAAAAGGGGGGCAGGCATGGCTGGCGTTCCACCAGCCCAGGTGCTTTCTCACGGCTGCCGGCCCCACTTGGCTGGAGAAATGGTTGAGAGAAGGAAGGAAGGGAATCTGTCCACCACCCAGCTCCAGAGAGAGGTCACAGGAGGGTCACCAGCAGGCGCAGGGCTATGTCAGCTCAGACTAGGAACTGGCAGCTGCCAGGAAAGAAGGGCAGGAGAGACGGAGAGGCCGTGACAAGGATCGCAGTCCTGATGCCCCGGTGACTCCTCCAGCAGGCAGCCACCGGGCGGACTGTTCCCGCGCTGCATACTGAAAACAGAGGCTCAGAAAGGCCAACAGGCCCCCCACCCCAGGATAGTGCAGTTAGTTCAGGGTAGAAGGGCTCTTTCCACCGCTGGCCCTTGGGAGAAGGGGCCCAAGGCTCCAGATGCAGCTGTCAGAGGCTTGCGGATGAGAAAGAATCTTCTGAGGCAAGATTCCAGGGCCCTTACAGAAGGTTCTAGGGAAAGGGAGGGACCCACCCCCGACTGACCAGGGCGTGCTCCATCCGGAAAGCAGGTGTGGGGCTGGACCTGGGAAGGCCTGCACGGGCAGGCCCTGGCCTGTGGTCCAGACTAGTCCCCACTCCACTCTGTAAACTGAGGCAGCTGTGCACGTGGGGGTGGACAGGGAGACTTCCTTCTGGGGCCCCTGGGGGCCAGCACATGTGGGTAGGCTGGGGGTCTGCAGGGAGGCCCTGGCCAGGCAGCTTAGGGAACTCATGAGCTCAGTCACTGGGAAGTGTCCCCGGTCCAGGTCTGGGTGTACTCCAGCCATCACTGCGGGGCTGAGAGGGCAGGCATTTGATCTGGGGCAGTTGCAGGCTTGGCTTCTGCAACACCAGCCCTGGTACCGACCCCAGCCAGGCAGAGGGTCCCGCTCTGCTCACCAAGCACAGCTCGCCCAGCCAGGAAGACTGTCCGTCCCACTGGATACCAGCGGCCCCCTGTCAAGGGCCTCCCACAGCCCCCTGTCAAGGATAATGGGAAGAGGCCAACTCGGAGACAGTGGTACAAGCCACCGCTCTGTACCGGGGGCTCCAGCAGAAACAGGGCTGACCCCCAGCATCACTGAAAAGCGATTTAAGTCTTTCCTGGGAGTTCTTTTAAAACATCACAGGACAGCCTGTTGCCTGATGCCCTGCAAAACACCAGAATTGCTCTTCTCTGTGTCTCCCCAGAGTCTGACTCACATCAGCCCACTGATCACCGTGGCAAGCAGGGTCCTCCCCCTGGAAGGAGTGGTGCTTGTCCCTGTTCCCATGCCAACAGCCTACAATGTCAGCATGCCACCATCACTGTTTCTTCGTGGGAGAAAACCAAGGCCCAGTGTTTCGGGGTTGGTGAGAGGGCTGGCCGAGCCAGAGGCTGAGCCGGGGGGTGGGCGGGTGCACAACCTGTCTGACCCCGGGGCCCGTGCGGCCTACGTGCACTGGGCTGTCAGTAAACCACAAGACGAGCTTTGTCTCAGCCGCCACGGGGTCCTAGACACAGACTCGACTCTGCCAGTTCAGCTGGAGGCGTCCTGGCCTTTCTTCCCAGGCAGAATAGCACAAGAATGGGGTGAGGGGGGAGGAGTGGGGGCGGCCCACAGGCCGTCTGGTCTCTTCTCTGAACCCAGCCACGGTCTGAAGCACTGGGACGAATATGAGAAAGTCCTCGCCCTCAAGGAATTTATAATTCTTTTTTTTTTTTTTTGGTAAAGGCAACTCAGTAGAAAAGGTATAGACAGACCACTCCCAGGAACAGAAATTGCTTTTCCTCTCCACACAGAAAAAGATGTCTGACCTCACCGATAACCTAGAAAAATGCAACTAAAAAGAGCAGGATACTATGTTTCCCCTTAAATGAAAACAATTCAAAAGGCTGACAATATCTGTGGTAGACAGAATACCGCCCCCCACCCAGACAAATGCCCACAGCCTACTCCCTAGAACCTGTGGACGGGCCAGGCCACCTGGCAGACAGACAGAAAGCCACAGCTGGAGTCGGGATTGCCAGTCAGCTGACCCGACGATAAGGAAAGACTCCCGGTTACCCAGGTGCGCCCCATGTAGTCGTAAGGGGCTGTGAAGATAGAAGAGGGGCGGAAACAGAGTCGGGGGGACGCCACACGAGAAAGACGCCACTGGCCGCCCAGACTGTGCTGGCGGTGCAGGTGGAGCCACGGCTGGGGACCGTCTCTCCCCTGGAGCCTCCGGAAGGAGCACAGCTGGGCTGACACGGTGGTTTCCGTCCGGTGAGACTCCCGCCAGACTTCGGACTGACAGAACCGTAAGTTAGTAAGTTTGTGCTATTTCTAAACCACCAACTGTATGGTAAGCTGTTACAGGAGCAATAGGAAACTAAAATAATGTCCAGTGTTGGTAGAGATTTGAGGAAATGGGCAGAACCTGACACTTCGGGGGGATTGAAGTGGAACTATATGTTTTTTGCAGGCGATTCATCAGAATCTATCAAAATGTAAATGCACGTACACTTTGGCCCGATTTCCCCTCCAGGCGACTGTCCTCAATCAGACACGCTTGCCCACACGTGCAAATATCTGAGTACAGGGGTGTGTGAGGCTGCACTGTGGTAGCACTTCTAGCCCAGAAGTCATGGAATTGCCCAACGAGACGGAGCCGATGAAATCGCTGCACGGTCGTGTCACGGGGAAATGCCACCAGGCAGGCGCGAACAAGAAGGGGGTGTTCTTTGCACTGTGGCGTTTGTATCGGTAAATAGAAGCAAGGGGGAAAGCCACGAAATCCCGCTTTGTGAAGCACAGAAAGAACACGGATGATGCGTGCTGGAGCCCAGTGCAGAGCTGGCACATGGGGGTTCGCGGCAGGCGTGTGCTGAATGGAGACAGTCACTGCAGTGTTAGTTACTGTGGCAAACAGGCTAACAAAACGCCGCTCATTCGCTGTGATTTGGGAACCAAAGCAAAAAACACACGGATCCCATTAATTTGACTTCTTGTATCCCAGGAATCGGCCCATCCAAGGACTAACCAGGCCTGACCCTGCTTAGCTTCCGAGATCAGACGAGATTGGGCGTGTTCAGGGTGGTGGGGCCGGAGACCCCAGGGATCCTATTGACTGAGAATTTTCATTTTCACCGTATGCTTCCTCTTCCAGATCTTTTTCTCTTTAATATTTATTTATTTATTTATTTATTTATTTATTTATAGAGAGAAGAGAGGGAAGGAGAAAGAGAGGGACAGAAACATCAATGTGCGGTTGCCTCTCATTCACCCCCAACTGGGGACCTGGCCTGCCACCCAGGCATGTGCCCTGACTGGCAATCGAACCTGTGACCCTTTGAGTTTGCAGCCCCATGCTCAATCCACTGAGCCACAGCAGCCAGGGCCTCTTCCTGATACTTAATTAAAAGAAAAAAAAAAAAAAGAAAAAACATGAGCTAAGACTTTCTAGCACCAATCTCTGTGAGATCCTGCTGTTTACAACTCCCCGTAAGAAAAGTACACATTCGTCCATAGGAACATTTTTCTTTCCCCGAACCGGCTGCTGTGTGACAAAGCATTCCCTGCAAAGTCACAGTGAAGCAGCTAACTTTTTTCTGGGTGTGGAAAATATTTTGGCGAGGAACCTTGCTAAAGACTTTTTGAAACACTGAAGTACATGCACTAAAGCTACTTACTGGGTTTCTTTGCCGACAGTTTTTGCTACTAGGCGAGCTCAGTGTGACCTCCCCTCGAGAATGTTCGGTGCGTCTGTTCTAACAGCCTGCCGGCGTGGTGACTGTGGACGCGCATTCCCAACAGCCCCTACAAAAGGCCTTTAAAAATTGTGATCATACTGGAAACCTTGGAACAAAGAGCCCAAACTTTGAATCCCAGTTTTGCTACTTACCAGCTGCATGACCCAGTTCACCAGGGATCACCCCTGCCAGGGGACCGTCTTGTTAGCAGAAAGGCAGGTCCACACTGGGGCTCGTGTTTCCACCAGTGACTCGCCATCTCTTTCCCTGGCAACACTTGGGGCTGTCACACTGGTCCCTGGCTCACCTGTGTGCAGGGCACATCTGGGTGCAGCAGCCTGTGTGCCCGTAGGAGTGAAGTTCCTGGGACAGAGTGGCCTCTCGTTGGATGCTGACCAGGCTTCCCACACGGTCAGGGTGTTAGTTTGGGGTGTCTCCTGAGGACCCCTTACCGGCAGGGGCAGGATCCCACCTTTTCTGGTGGGCTCCCCCCACCTCACCCCACCCCCAAGTAGAGCCAGGCCCAGAGCTGAGAAATCTAGGGTTTCATTCTTTTCTGTAATTCTGGTTTCTCTTACCTGTGCCCAAAGGTAATTATGCACATGTGGGCCAGTGTTTTAAAGGAGCCTCAGTAACACTGGGCAGAGGGCGTCTGGGGAGGTAGCTACAAAGTGAGGGGCCGTGGGGGTTCTGGGTTTGGGGCACCTCCCAGACCATCTGGACTGGAGGAGGGACTCCATGCCACCCCGAAGTGGAACCAGAGCCGTTCACCAGTGCAGAGGGCAGGGGCGCCTGGGGGTCCCAGAGCAGTGGGGGAGGTGGCTGCCGTACCCTGCTCTGCTCTTAGAGCCGACCGCAGCACTCCAAGGCCTCCCGACACAGGGTCCTGGTGCCACAGGGCCACCAGCACCTGCCACTTGTCACAAGTTCTCCTTAACCACCCCACCCCCCCCACGGATTATCCACACGTCACAGATGTGGAAGCCGAGATTTAAGGTAGAGGACCTGCCCAGAGTCACCGGGCCGAGAGGTGAAGCTGGGAGTCCAGGCCAACGGTCCAATCCTCAAGTCAGGCTGCTGCTCCTTCCCCTCCTGAGAAGATGCTTTTTCTTTCCCGTCAGCACTCATTAGTCCCCTCGGTGACAGGACTCACCTGGGACAGTGCCCTGAGTCCCGCACCTCTCTGCAGATAGAAGGCATGAACTCAGGATCAAGGCCATAGGCCCTGGATGTCTGAGTCTCCATGTCACTTACAAACTGGCTTCAGCAGCTCTTCTCCAGTCACGTCCTGTCTGTCCCCATTCCTCCCTCCCCTGCTGGTGGAGAAGCTGGACAAACAGTCTGGGCGGAAGCCATTCAGAGGATAGCGTCTTTGTTGTCCTCAGGAGAGAGCTATGTTTAGAAAGCTCTGGCCGGAGCCCCAGGGAGGCGGGGCTGGCGGGGAACATGCCATAGATCTGGCAGAATGCTGGGCCTGGCAACGGCCCTGGTGCTTCGACACTATCATGAAATAGTGGAAAATGGCAAAGGGGCTGCTCTGCATTTTTCATTTCCCCAATCAGATTTTATCAGGAGTGAGCAGCCTGAGGAGGCAGGTACCCAAAGGAAGGGAAGAAAACAGCACTGGACCCCTGAGAGGCTGTCCTCATGTCTGCACGTGGGGCAGGCGGGGCACGGCTTCTCTGTGGCCCCTCGGCTGCCTTGCTTCCCTTCTCACACTGGCCAGGGGCATTCTGCCCACCCTCCTCAGGAATCCCAGACATTCTTACTCACAGGAGGCCTGGTGAAAGAGGTGGCCACGCGGACGGACCTCTCCAGGGCCGGGCTGTCTACAGCCTCCTCTCAAGCCCAGCACCCTGGAAAGAACATCTTCAGGGGAAGGAGTGAGGACACATGAAACAGGCCTGGGGCACTGCCACCAGCTAAAACCCGAGGACCCCCAGCTCTGCACGCTGCAACTGGGGCGGGCAGGGCAGCGGCCAAGGCTCAGAGAGCACCCACTGTGCGTCTGCGCCTGCTCAGGAGTCGGCCGGCCCTCCGATCCCATAGCGCCCTCCGAGGGCGGCCACCGACTGCGTCTCCCCAGCACGGGCTTGCACAGCTTGCCACCCATTAAAGGAAGAACGAAGGGATGAATGCATGAACTGTTGGTCGATCTCCATTTTGCAGATGAGGAAGTTGAGGCTCAGAGCCCAAGGTCCTTGACGGACTTTAAAAAACTAAGATTCAGCCCTGGCTGGTATAGCTCCATGGATTGAGAACGGGCCTGTGAAGCAAAGGGTCACTGATTCGATTCCCAGTCAGGGCACATGCCTGGGTTGCAGGCCAGGTCCCCAGTGGGGGACACATGAGAGGCAACCACACATTGATGTTTCTCTCCCACTCTTTCTCTTTCCCTTTTCCCTCTAAAAATAAATAAATAAAATATTTTAAAAAAACAACTACTAAGATTCAAACCCAAGACTCAGATGCCTGAGCCGAGGCTCCATCTCTCCACCGTATCCTGTTGCCTCCAAATACAGTTAAAGGTTGAATTCTGTTCCCCACGGGGTCATATCCTGAAATCCTACCCTTTGGTACCTCAGAAGGGGACTTTACTGGGGGACGGGGACACTGCAGACGTAATTACTTAAGATGGTGAGGTGGTGAGGGTGGGCCCTGCCCAATGTGCCTGGTGTCCTTACAGATGGGGAACCTTGGGCACAGGACAGACACATGTGGAAGAAAGACGATGTGAGGACACGGAGAGATGACCGTCTACAGGCCCCAGAGGGGGCCTGGCCCACATCCTTCCCCACAGCCCTCAAAGAACCAACCCAGCCGACGCCTTGATTTTGAACTTCCAGCCTCCAGATCTGAGAGACAGCCATTTCTGCTGAGGCGCCCAGTTTGTGGCACTTGGTTACCACAGCCCCAGGAATCTGACACTGCCCCGCCCCCAACAGCCCGCAGCCCCAGCGGCCTCTGTTTCAGATGCTCCACCCACACCCGCCTCTGCACCTCAGTTTCAGCATCTCCCCGGGGGGAGGTGATGGGGGGCCGGTGGGGAGGCACTGGGACATTCTGAAGGATGCTGAACCCAGAAACCAGAACAGGGTTCCCTGACTGAGCCCCCACCAACCAGGAAGCTCCAGGCTCTGGCACTGGAGTCCCACACTCTGCTTGAGGTTTTGGTGGATGGTCATTCCTGGCCCCAGGCATGGGGTGAAGGTGGTGCCGGACCCTGAATGCTCCTGACCACCCCAGGAGGAGCGCCTGGTGCAGGCTGTGAGGTAGATGAGTGTCCCTCCCAGATGCAGCGTTGCTCTCTGACCCTGGCCCTCCTGAGCAGAGGTAGCTGCACAGATAAAAGAGGACCGTGAGGACCAACTGTCTTGATTTGACAGCGGATCACCTTGTGAAGGTGTGAAGCTCTGATGCTGCGCTCACCACACGGCTGGGTCATGCCTGTGTCATGCCTGTGTTTCCTCCGCCCATCAGGGCTATATGGTGCCCAGCACACCTGGGGCGGCAGGAGGGCAAGGCCAGGGCTTTGAGGCCCGTGCAGGTTTGAAAACAGGTTCACTTACACTCTGGGTGATCTTGGGCCATTTACTGGGCCTCTCTGCGCCTCGGGTTCCTTATCTTTAAAGTGAAGGACCTCGTGAGGTTGTGGCACAGATTAAAAGGGGTAATAGCTGGATGCCTGGCACAGCACCTGGCCCCAGGATCGGACCCGAGGGCACAGCTCTGTCTGCACTGCTTAACCCCCAGCAGTTCAGCTGGTGTCTGTGGGAAGGAAGGGCTTGGAGAACCTCCCAAGTTTAAGTCTGGGCCAGTGGATCTCATTCCAGCAATGAACACCTTTCCTACTGAAAAGGCCCAGAATGTCAGTCCAGTCGGGGCTCTCGATCCATGAGCACAGGACAACCACCTGCTTCACCCGGAAGCCCTGTGCTGTGCCAGGGGAAGGCAGGAGGAGGACAGTCACACAGAACTACAGGGGCCCAGACTGGCCATTTGGCCAAGGAGGCCAAGCAGGCATTAAAAGGGAAGAAAAAAACACAATTCAATTGCCTCTGGGTGCTCGGCACCTCGGCACCCATCGTCCTCGCCATCCTCCCAGGAAAGCATGTGAAGCCCCCTTTGTAGACAAGGGAAGTGAGGCAGTGAGATGAAGTCATTTACCAAGGTCATGGGTGAGGAGGGGCAGGGCTGGCCCTTGCCAAACCCACCAGTGCTCTGTGCAGATCAGGGCTACCCTGGGCGCTGGTGGCTGGGGACCAGGAAGGGGAGAGGAGAGGACAGTGTGAGGTGGGAGGCCTCTGGGGCTGGTGGGGCAGGCGGCCGCCAGCTGCCTCTGCGGAGGGCATGGTCCCCAAAGCTGGGTCCTGGTCCCAGGAGTCTAGAGAGCTAGAGGAGGTGCTGAGGAAGAGTCGCAGGAAGTCTGCCCTTCATTCACAATCTAAATCAGGTTCTTCTGAGTCCTTTTTGGCCTGCAGAACAGGCTAATCATAAGAACCTGTAAAATACACATTTGTCTCTCACACAACAGGACACCCCTACCTCCAGCCTCTCCTGGAGGCTGCATGAGAAACTTCCTGCCAGCTCAGGGCAGACGGGGGCCCCAAAATTCACTGCGGGTTCTGGCCTAACCCACGATGCAGAACTTGCCTTATGGAAAAACCCAGGCGGGAGCCAGGAGCTGATGCCAGCTGTTATTATCCTGAAGTCCTGGTGTCTGCAAAAGCCTGTGTCTCCTGGGGCTGCTCCAGCCAATTCATCCTGCCAGTCCCACAGCCCTGAAAGGGGAGGACGTGCCCTGCAGCTGGGCTGGGTGTCCCAGGTGTGGGGACCACTGACTCCCGACCCTTCCGTGCCAGGGTCATTCGAGAAAATAGTCCTGCAGTTCTCCCTCCCGTCCTGTTCCCTCCCCCAACACATGCGGCCCCCAGACCCCACCCTCTGGGAGCCCCCTCTCCTCACCAGCCTCCTGGGGAGACCTTCAGGGATGAAGAGGGGGGTGTCCCAGAACAGAGCCTGCCCCCTCCTCCAGGGATGCCGTCCCGCTGCCAGGCCGCGCTCACAGGATTTCCCAGCACTCTCCTCCAGTCTGAGTGATGCTGCCTGTGGCGAAGTTGCACCATATTTAATTTCAAAGGAAACTTCTTCACGTGCCCGAGTCCTCTGTAACTAAAGGAGTCAGAGCAGTGGAGGGGCCTCTCTGCCCTCTGCCCAGCAACGCTTCCTGGGCCTGGGTCTGCACAGCTCCTGCCCCCCATTCCAAAGGCAGATACAGGGGAGCCACTGGGGCTGGTTCTGACGTGCACCACACAGACCGAGGACCCAGTTAGAGCCCCACGTGCAGAGCAGAGCTGCGGTCCAAGTCATCAAGGGCCGGACGAGAACTTCGGGTCTGAAGGCACCAACAATGTTCGGGCGCCGGGTCCTGCTGTGCCTCACAACTGTGGCCCCAGGCCCCAGCCCCTCTCCCTCTCTGCCCGGCTCCTTGCCACAGCCCAAATTATCTTCCCAAAACACAAACCTGATGACCCATGTCCCTAATCTTAATTGTTCGGAAGGCTGCTCCAACCGATGGGCCTGGAGAACAGAGACCAGTTCAACCAGCACCTAATGGGAGGAGACAGGCTGCGCTCCTGGAGACCGGCCAGACTCGTCTGTGACACTGGCCTGGTAAATGAAGTGACAAGGGTAGAGTGAAAATCCAGCTGTATCCTCCAGCGACCCGGGACAGGGGGCCTGCGGTCCCATCACAGGGGGCCCCTGGGGCTATGAACCGCCCTCAACAGTATTGACCTCCCAAGGCTTAATTCCCACTCACTCAGCAACCTTCAAACAACCGACCCAGCTCCCAACTTTGCGTGGCTCACAGAGCCCTTCGTGGGCAGTCTCCAACCTGCTTTCGGGTCGGACCCCTGGCCCGCCCCAAGCCTGGCCCCTGCTTCTCGAACGCTTCACCGGTTTGTCTCTAAGGAGCGGCACAGATGTCTCCTCTCCAATGAAACCCTCCCTGACTCTCCCACTGGGCGCCTGTCTCCCTGCCATCCTGACCCCCAGCGCCGAGAACCCTCCCAGTAAAAGGTGGGTAAAATGAGAGTATGTTTGGGCTCAAAGGACCGACAGGGGCTTGTAAGGCTTGTCAAGACTCACACTGGGAAAGCCAGGATTCATTCGGGTTGGGGCGTTTTCCTCTCAGCAGTCTCAGTCCCTCAGAGCGAGGAGGCCAACCCCACACCCCTCTGCTTGGTCGCCTCGCAGCTCAGTGGCTGACTGGTGGGCCCTTTCATCTCCACTTCGACCCTCTGTGGTCCTGCCCACTCTACGGTCTCTGTGGCCCAGCAGGTTTGCTGCCGTTGTCCTTGGC